TTATTATGTTATATTATAAATATATATGGTATTTCTATATTAAAATATGATAAATATTTATAAAATTAACATTTTATTGATTCGAACTCTTGTTGATTGACTAATATGTAAGCGTGTAAACACTAAACCATTTAAATTAACATATTAACTAATATATTCTGTATATATATATTTGATTTATATATTAAATGGGTATCCGGAACCGAACCGAAACCGAACTAGAACTGAACCGAAACCGAACTAGAACCGAACCGGAACCGAACCGAAATCTCATAAGTATCTATTGAGTATAAGAATGATTTATCCGATATACCCGGAACCAAGTGGTTCCTATCCGGAACCGAACCGAATATCCGAATGCCCAGGCCTACCTACCTATATGTCACTTGAATTTCTTTTCTTTTTTGTAGATTTTATCTGATCACTTGTTTTGTGTCTACAAGATCCATTAGCGATCCTCTAATCGACCCCTGGTAAGCAAATATCTAATCACTTTCGATCTGATTTCACCTCGTTGTCTTCTTAATCTTCCAAATTGACTCTACTTTGATTGCATTAGAGTTGTAAGGATTTTAAAGATTTAAACTTTCTATTAAAAATCAGATATTTTTAGCATCTGAGGATCACAAGATTCCAACTTTTCTCTTTTACCAAAAAAAGAACCCACTTTCTCGTGAAACTAAAATCTTATTTTCTGACGGAAACTGTTAGAATTGGAACTGCATAGATGCTCTCTGTCTTAGTCAAACTGGTTCCAGGTCAACAATTGTAATTTGAAATACTAATACTATTATTATTGTTATTTAACAGAATTTTTTTTACTTTCATTGATTCAGAGAAAACTTGGTTTATCTTTTGTTTATTGGAGATGGCGGATGCGGCTAAAGATTTAGCGTCAGGGACTGTTGGAGGAGCGGCTCAGATAATCGTAGGTCATATCCATTTGACACATCAAGGTCAAACTCCAGAGCCAACAGGCTCCAACACCTGGTCAACTAATTATATAATTTTTTTTTTGATATTTATATTTTAAAAATAGTAATACTCTACCAAAAGTTCAATATGAAAATATTGAGTAAAGAGCATTTGAAAAGAATTTACAGCTTCTAACTGTATTTTAGATGTAATAGTTGATAGGATAAAAATCATTATGTTTTTAAAATTGTTCTGACAATTAAGGCCTAAATTAACAAACCATGTTGGTTCAGTGCAAGTCATAGACTGTACTTTTGTGGACATGACCAAAGATTATAGAATTTGCATAGTCCATACTGTATTTTGGATCGCAACTATGGTTATTGGATAAGGATTGGATTCTTTGAATAAGTCATGTATGTCTGACAAAACCTTATGGCTCGAGAGAACCTATTTCTATATAGTCCATGTTTTCAGCTCTTTTATTGGCTATATATGCCAACTACTTGGAAAAATCGTCTTCTCGTATGTCTGATTATCTATGTGAAAGAATGGGAAGTGGATCAAGCGCAACATGAGCATCCTCTATATTTTTATCTTTCCATAAGTTTAGCGAGTTGTCAATTTCACTCATGACATGCAGATTAAGACATATATATTGTCAGTTCACTATAAGAGGTATGTGCACTATAAACATATTCTTTTATGGACAGACAGTGAAGAAAATCTATAAGTGTTGGACCTTCTTTCGTGTGTTGTGTACAAACACAGATTTTCCAGCCGAGCTTATGGTAAATGTTTGAGCTTGAGAAGCTTCTGGCCGTGTAGGTCCGTAAAACTCACCGACTTCAGCTCTCTTTATCGGAGTGGTCCTTAGTCCGCAGCTCAAAGGTACGAGGTGCCTATGCAATGTCATATTTTGATATGGTGCTATTCTATATTGAATGTGTAGTCGATTTCCTTGTCTATGAGGATTGTCTCCTTAATGTACGGCGGAGAGGAACCATCCTCTATAACTTGAAAGGCGTGATGATCTCTAAACGATTTTTCTGCCTTTGGAAGGTGTTGATGGCGTCTGACAAGATACAATTTCCTTTCAAACACACACTTTTTTGATCTTTTTGGACGACCGATGCAAAACATAAGTAGCTAACTTGATGAAGTTCGCTGGAGGAATGCTATGATTGATTTACTAAGTCGTTTTTCGGATGACTTTACAGCCACTGTCACCAATCTATTTTCAGATATTGATTTAGAATCTCTACTTTTCTTTTTTGGTCATTAAAATCTCTACTTTTCATCTATGTATTATTTACGTCAAATTTTTCAAACTATACCAATCTTCGGATAGGCTGCGAATTTGACCATGGCAGCACACAATTTACCAATTTTATATAATAGTATGATATTACACCAATATAGCTTTAAAAATAACACTAATGACTTAATATGAAATAACTTCAAAATTTTCAATTAATTTATTGATATAGCATATTATAAAAAAAGATTCAATCATAGACAAATTTCTTTGATAGCAAAAAATAATAATTATGACAAAATAGCACATAAAGAAAATAACAATAATTAAAAAATAAAAAATAACAGTAGTTAAAAGATAAAATGACTATATTACTTCAAACCTTGATCCTTTAATATAACAGAATCTCTTAAACCTAAATAAAAAATTAACTAGTTGATGTTATTTTGATTGAAACCATTTGTGCTATTTTAAAAATAAAAAGTGTTTTGGTGCTATCCTAGAATACTTTTTCAATCAATAAGAAAATACATAAAATGTAAATTTTAAAAGTTTACTGCTGAAAGCATTGTGTAATTTGCAACAAATCATTCTTTATGAATTATCACCAAATGTAAAGTACAAACATATGTATTATCTTCTATATATTAAAGGAGAATTCTTAATAATGCATTTACGCAATATTTTTTTGAATATGTTGATGTGTCTTCTCCACAATCGTTTAACAATTAATCCGTTCACGCCCTAATTTTTTTAACTACATTGCAGATAATTTAATGTGTTCGTATTCTATTTTTTCAATCAATTCATTTTTAATTCATGCATTTTTAACATTTTTAATAGTGAACATAAATTAATTATACTTCTATTTGTCCAACTACTGAATAATATAATTTCAAAAGAAATAAATAAAAAATCAGTAAGATTTACATCAACTAAAACGTTGGAATGAGAATGTTCTTAGAAAATGAAAATTTCATATATTGCCGAACTTGACTATAATTGAGGTTTATGTTCATGAAAGCAACAAATAATTGTGAATGGTTATGAATTAAGAAAACTGAAATAAATAAAATAACACTACACACGAATTTGGATCTTTATCTTAGCCTAGTATTGATTTTTTTTTTACGAAGTTTTTATATCATACCAAGAATTAGAAACATAATTAGATTACTAAAAAAACTTTTTTTAAAAGAAAATAATATTCGTAATATTGATTGAAAACAAAATTTAGGTGCCGAGTGAAGAGATCACAGTATTTTACACGTAACTCTCGCCCATTTCACTCGATTGTATAGTGTTTTTACTATAGTTTCCAAGAATTTTATACGAAAATACACGTTATTGGTCGCAAAGTAAGATTTTCTGGACTATTCATCCAAAAAATATAATGTAGCTTCTATGATTATATCTTTTAAAAAATTTGGAGTATTATGATTTTTAGTTTGAAATATTTATTTTCATTATTTTATATTTGATCAAGAGAAATTTAAAAAAATTAAGAAACTATTTTTACGTTTGGAAATTATAAGAATTTTGACTTTGTTACTAAGTAAATGAATTACTTATGAAATATATTTGTAATTTTGTATAATATTTTTTTTTTATGTCAGTAGAGTTGTTATAGTTAAAAATAAACTTTAAGTTTAAAATTTAAATTTATTTTTCATTAATATCTTTAATGAATTATTAAATTTTCAGAACATCTAATAGCCTATTTTGTAAATAATACATGAATATAATGTAATTTTATTCATACATATATTATGTTGCGTTTAATTTATATAGTATTATTAAACGTAACAGAGAACATCCCAATTTTGCGACATGCCCAACAATATTGAAACGACGTCTAATCATTTTTACTATTCTTAAAATATAGTCTAATGATTATGAAAGTTAAATAAGCCAAGATATTTGTTTTACATTTATTTGTTTATATTAGTAGAAGAAAGTAAGTATGGGTAAATATATGGAACTTATTAACCAAACCGAACTAGATTTAAAAGTGATATCAAACACAAACTAAAACTAATTAAGTAATCAGATGGATCTAAAATTATAATATCCAGATAACCAGACTCGAATCTAATACAAATTAAACTATTTTGGATATCAAAATATCTAAATCATAATTATATACTTAAATATTATATTAATTATTTTAAATTTTATATCTATTAGATATTCAGAAATATGAAAATATCTAAAGATTATCAACATAAGCAGAAGTAAATATCTAAAAATAACAGTAAATATTCAAAATACTGATAATATTTATTTTTTCTCATCCAAATATTTAAATTGAGCTAAATTTTATGCAAATTGAAATATGTAGTCTTATATTATTCAAATTTTTATGTTTTATATTATTTTATTTTTGGATTTTAAGGACTTAAGTATATTTGGATTTTTTGAAAATATGTAATTAAAATGAACATCCGAACTCGAATCTCAACTGAACCCAAAATGATTCTAACCAAACGTAAACTAAAACTTGTAGATATTCGAATAAGATTTAAATTTCTAACTCTAAAAAACTGAAATCTGAATAAATTATCTAAATCTGAATAGATATATGGATATTCATACCTAAAAAGTTATACGATAAATCTATAAATACAATGGTACAATATATATAATCTATAAACTATTTCATCATGTACGCACAGCGCGTGTTACTACCTAGTTTATTATTTATGGTAGAAATTAGTTACATCTATTCATTTAATGTATTTATTATTTGTTGATAGTGTCTTTGCTGTATTTGAGTCATCTTCTTACCTAACCGTCTGATCCAACGTCTGACCAGCTAATGAGGCATGTTTAATGAATTTCGACGGGGGAGAGGAAAAAAAACCCATCTAACACTTTTCATCAACCTACTTCCGAAACCAAATTTAAATCGGAAATATACCATATTACGTCTCTGCAAAGGCGTATAAAACAGTTTTGAGTGATTGAAACATATATGTCCACTTGAAAGATTTTTTTCCTTTTTGGATTGTACTTGTTTGCGTCTCTAAGATATTTTATATCGACTGCCTTCTCTATAATCACTCTCTGGTAAGCTATAATATCTAACACTTCCGATCAAATTTCACCTCACTCTCTTCTGAATCTTCCAATTGACTCTACTTTGATTGCGTTGAGTTGGATTTTAAAGATTCAGACCTTTTTTATAGAAGATAGGATTTTCTATATAAACATATTAAAGAATCTGATGATCACAAGGTTCCAACTAAACTAAAATCCTATTTTCTGACAGGACCTGTTAGATGATGCTCTGTCTACACCAAACTTAGTCAAACTTATTTTAGGTCAACAACGTGTTAATCTGAAATACTATTATTATTATTATTATTTAACAGAAAGTTTTATTTTTTATTTTTTGAGAAAACTTGGTTGATCTTTTTCTGTATTGGAGATGACGGATGCGGCTAAAGATTTAGCGTCAGGGACAGTAGGAGGAGCGGCTCAGATAATCGTAGGTCATCCATTTGACACAATCAAGGTCAAACTCCAGAGCCAGCCGGCTCCAACACATGGTCAACCACCACGGTACACCGGTGCAATCGATGCGGTTAAGCAGACCGTTGCTGCTGAAGGACCTAAGGGTTTGTACAAAGGTATGGGAGCTCCGCTTGCAACCGTTGCTGCCTTAAATGCTGTTTTGTTCACCGTGAGAGGTCAAATGGAAGGCCTGCTTAGGTCTGATTCTGGAGTTCCTTTGACCATTAGTCAACAGTTTGTATGCGGCGCAGGCGCTGGTTTTGCTGTCTCGTTCCTTGCTTGTCCTACCGAGTTGGTCAAATGCAGGTCAGGTTCTTTTGCAAATCTTGCTGGCTTTGATGTCTCTTTGGGTGTTTTGTTCATTCTTTGTTTACGCTATCAGGTTGCAAGCACAAGGTGCACTAGCCGGCGCCTCTACCACAAGCTCAATGGTTGCAGCCGTGAAATATAGTGGACCAATGGACGTAGCCCGTCATGTGTTACGATCAGAAGGCGGAGCACGAGGGCTATTCAAAGGTTTATTACCTACATTTGCCAGGGAAGTCCCGGGAAACGCAGCTATGTTTGCAGCCTATGAAGCTTCTAAGCGGTTTTTAGCTGGTGGTTCAGACACTTCAAGCTTAGGACAAGGTTCATTGATCATGGCTGGTGGAGTTGCTGGTGCATCCTTTTGGGCATTTGTTTACCCGGCTGATGTGGTGAAGAGTGTTCTTCAAGTAGATGATTATAAAAACCCTAAGTACGCGGGTTCCATGGATGCTTTTAGGAAAATTTTGAAAGCTGAAGGAGTTAAAGGTTTGTATAAAGGGTTTGGTCCAGCCATGGGTAGGAGTGTTTTTGCTAATGCTGCTTGCTTCTTGGCTTATGAGATGACAAGATCAAGCTTGGGATAAATTAGTTTTGTTTGGTTTTAAATGGTTGATTCAATTTGTTGATGTTCCCATTGATTAATCTTCAAAAAATCTGTCTATCTCATTACAAAATTTATATGTAACATTATATATTTACTTAATTTCATTAGATCCCACTTTTAAATTGATATTTTGCTGAATAGACTTTGTTTTCCATCTATGGCCTGGGTCACAAAAGAAACAGGCTTACTGTTGATATGTTTCGTGGAGGATAACTAACTAGCGTGTGACTAGTACTTGCATATTAGAGTAATAGAGTGTCAACAAGACAACAAGAAAAAAGGAGGGAATTTATAACTACTTTTGTCCTTTTTCTTTTTGTTATTAACTTATTTACATCATTTTCCACTATAAAAACAAAAACAAAAATATCATAGTTTGAGAAAGATAACAAAGTCAAATGGAGACGATGGAGCAACAAAGACATCCACTCTCTTCATTGCCTAATGCCTATGCTCTCTAGGCTTGACAACTTGGATTTCGTTGTAAACTTTTCTTTTCCACCTCTGATATTTTTTGTTAAAAGGATAGTTTACACATCAACAATGATGAAATATTTTTTATTTTTGTTATATTGATTCTAGCTGTGTTTTTCATATTGCTTGATGTATATAAAAATCTAGAAAGACAACAAAACCTTCCCAAATGGAAAGGTGAAAAAGCTCGTCTATTACACTCGAGTTAATCCATAGAGGCGCAATGGTTAGAAAAGCTTATTTTAAAGGATCGTTACTTGACAGAATCACGGCTCTAGAGACCAAACTTTTCCAGGTATGGTTTCACTATAGGTTTTAAACAAAGGTTATGTTCAAGTGAGTTTAATTTTTTTTTTTTTTTGTTCAAGTGAGTTTAATGTTTTAATGGTTTCTGTATATTGTGTTTAATGGTTTTGTTTCATGTTAAAAGATTTGTTTGGAGTTGGAATCTAGTAAAGCATCTTCTACTTCAACTGTGGGGTCCGGTGAAACATCAAACCAAAGGATTGAGAGAGATCTGACAAAGACATTACCCATTTTCAATAGCAACATTAATCCTTTTCATACTCCCTTGCAACATCCACAAGACCCTCGGGTATATATCTTTTTTTTGGGCAAAATATATCTTTTATTTATCTTATACTATTATATAAATATACGACAGTGGAACTTTCAGTAACATATTACAAAAAACACAATCATATATACATAGCTAGTTCGTTAATGACTAACAAAGCAATATATGCTATTTCATATCATCACTCTACTATTTTTTTCCAACAGATTGTTTAAATCTTTATAAGAATTTAGTCAATTTACCAGATTGGATATGTCACTTTTCTCTTTATAATAGACTAGCGATGAATTGTTTAAATTGTTATATTCCTCATCATACTTGTTACGGATTTCTCTAATGTGTGAACTGATATCAATTAAAATCTCTGTTTCTATGTCATTATAATTTGTAGGAAACAGAAGCCAAGCTGAAGAAAAGACAGAGGAGGAGATAAATATCAAGAAACCATTACCGGAGAATAAGAAGAAGAACTTTGCTAATGAAACTTGCAAGCTAAAGAAGAAGAAAAAAATTTCCTGAGAAACGGCCTCGATGTAACTTATTGGGTTGCTAACTTTTTTTTTTGGGAAAAAAAAAATTGGGGGGAAACTGCAATATTTCATATCTCTTCTATTGAAAGAGAAGTCACAACTTTTTTCATGTGTTAGTCTATATCTCATTTTAAATCTAATTATGTTTAACACTAGATGAAAATCTATGGTATAACCATACTAAACTGGGACACTTAAATACCAAACTCTAACATTAAATTTACAAAATAATAAAAACAAGTGTTTATAATGTATATTTGATTGATAAAATGTTTTGGTGGGTTGATGATCTTTAGACTAAAAATAATAATTCTAAAATTCAAAACTACAATCTCTTATGTTACAAAAATGTTCTCAAAATATAATTAATAGCATTTAAAAGAATATTTTAGATAAATAGTATTGTTTGAAATTTTTTTCCATAAAAATACTATATGTTTTGTAAATTACAAAAAAAAAAGTTATGTGTTGACAAAAAAAGTTATGTATTGACAAAAAAAAGTTATGTGAAATTGTATTGTTATATAATAATGTTTTCTATAAATTTTGTTGCAAAGATACAAAATTTATAAAAAAAAATATTGTAATAATATTATAAGACATACAAAAAAATTATTATAAAGTTAGATGATATATAGCACCAGTTTATATTATATAAATTATAACATTGTAGTATAAAAAGAAAACATGCACGGTCGTACGAGTCAAAATCTAGTTTCAGTTAATCTAAATTCTCTGATATTTTATCCACCAATTTAGGACTAATCAATTTTTGTTTAACTTAATTATCAAATATGATATGACATTTTTTATCAAATATGATTCTGTATAATTTTTTTTTGTGCTTCCTATAATGCAGTCTTTACTACTAATTTGACAGTCTTTTATATATACTGATTAAGTCTAAGTATATGTGTATATATTCTCTTTAACTCCACCAATGTAAGCCCAAAAATGTACTATACGTTGATTAGAAAACTGTTTATCATTTACCTTTTAGGATGTACCATAAAGCAACTATCCCCAAATTATGCAAATGTGTGGCTGTGGTTATATGTATAACTGTATATTCCACTACTTCTTATATATTTACATGCATATTCCATTATAACTTGGTCAGTGGGTTCTTTTTATAAAAACGAAAATATATCTGAGATTTCTTTCAGACAAATTTTAGAATAAAAGAATTCGCAATGATCAGAATCAATATTATTCACCAAATTGACTTTTTGATGATACTTTCACTCTCTGTAATGCTAAAAGAATATATGTAGCAATATTCGAAAATATATTAATTATATTCTAACTTTAACTTTTGCAACAAAAAAAAAAGTAAATGTTATCAAATAAATTAATCATGACAGTTGGAGTCAGCTCCATTTCATCGTTTACCAGACATATTCTCATTTTCATAAATACACGAAATACATTTAGAGTGATACAATTTACGGATTAGAGAAATTGATTTTGAAATATATATAGAGTTCTTTTTGGGATCATATGATCATATCGTAGTTCTACATCTAAGTTCGGACTTCAACATTTTTTTTTTAAATGTAGAATACTACCTTATGATCTCAAAGTTATAAATATTTGGAGATTGTAGAAAATGGAACAGATAGAAAAGATACGATCTCCCATGCGGAAACGATATGCTGTTAGATAAGTCAACTCGCAATAAATCAAGCGGAAACGATGTCTTAATTTTCTAAACTACTTCGAATATCCGTACAAATTTTATAATGTTGATGATATATCATATATATTCACTGTCCCCGAAGGGAATAAAAACTAAAATACATTACAAAGTAAACGATATGGAATCTCAGATAAACAAAAAAAAAACACTATATAGAATGGAGCAATTAACTGCAACAATGTATCGGTCTCGGCTTCTAAACTATAAACTGTGAGATTAAGATACCAAACAAAAACACGATATCAACCTCAAGGATCCTCTCTATCTCCAATTGAAAAGCAAGTATGGCGGGATCTGTAGAAAACCAAAGTCTCACCAAAAATAAAATATTTTATGTGGTATGCTCTATCTGGTGTGTTAACTGTTAAGCAATGTCTGAACACTCGGGGTATTCTGGTAGACCCAACATGTTCTGTTTGTGGTAATAATACTGAGAGTATATGTCATGTTTTTTTTACATGTGTTAGAGCTCGGGCCACATGGGAGCATGCTAACTTCCCAATTCCTTTAGGAGGTTTCTCATGAAATTCTACCTTTCTAAATTTTGTGCATCTGATCAAAACTGGTAAAAACTCATCTACGGATGTACATATAAGAAAAAATTTCTCATGACTTTTGTGGGAAATTTGGAAAGCTAGGAACGTTTTTCTTTTTGAAAACAAGGTTCTCGAACCCTCTTTTATCGCCAAAAAGACCTATCAAGAAAAATCTGCTTGGTGTGATACTTTCACAAGCAGGGTAGATGGAGTTGGGGACGTTGAATCAGACGAGATACGATGGATACATCCTCCCAATGGTTCCCTTAAATGTAATGTGGGTTCCTCATGGGTAAACTCAAATCAGTTAAGTGGTGCTTCATGAATCATTCGGGATGCAGCTGAACATACAATCAACCATAGTCGTCGTGTCTACTCTTGTATGCGCACAAAGACAGAAGCAGACTTAGGGGCATTGTTTTGGACGGTAGAATATCTACATAACTTACATTTCTCCAATGTTATCTTTGAGACATCGTCGGAATGCCTTCGTGAGTTCCTCACAAAGCCGGAAGATCACTCTAGCTTCAGCCATCTACGACACAATATATCCTTTCTTCTTGCAAGGATAGAGTTTTGGAGCCTTGATCACGTACTTCCGGAAAGAAATGAAGCTGCATCGGTAATTGCTGTTAGTGTCACCCGAGATAATCGATCTCAATCATACATCGCCCGAGATGCACCGGTTTGGCTTCAGCATTTACTCACTTTGGAAGCTCGACAACAATGAGGTTTGGTGAGATTTTCTTTCTTTCACCATGTTTGTGCGGTGTCTACTGACATCCTATTTAATTTCTTGTTTTTTGCTTTGTATCAAAACGATTATTTTTACATGTTCAAATGTTATAAAACAAAAACAAAAACACGATAACGGATAATAAACTGAAGAGTAAAAAAAAAATAAAAAAATTGAAGAGTATAATAATAAATAATCGTCAAAATCAGTATAAATGATTAAGTGTATGCGTACGTTAATATTATACTATATGCTACGCAAGAAAACAGCTGGCAATGACTGATGAATCGGTCATATGGTTATAAGTTAATAACTTTGTACACCTACCGCATCTCTTCTCAATTTCTCTATTTCTTACATACCAATTATTGCTTACATATATATATATATTTAAGGGAATTTGCACTACATAGCTATAGAAACAATTTATATTAGCTATATGGAAAACTACTGTTACATTTTCAATAATTCCCCCGATACCCCTAACCTATGTTACAAATGCATCTGACAAGAAATATGACCTTATCCGTATTGTGACAATCTACTGGAAAAGTGATCGGAGTCTCTTACGGCGATAGCTGGCGAACTCGGGAGGGAATCCATGGAGAGACAGCAGAGCATCCCTTACGCTCTACATTCGGCGGAGGTTGGTTTAAGAAATTCGGAGTAAGGATCTCCGCCGTCTACGATGAGGTTTTTACAGTCCGGGGATTTCGAGTCACCGTCATAGCATTTCCTTTTGAGGGATTTATTACTCGTGTTGTTTGAGCGTGGTGGTATAACATTTGGATCGGTTTACTATGAAAAATACATGCTGTGAATACCATAGTTAAATCTAAAATATCATGATCTAATAAATCATTTGATTGCAACAGGATTGTTACGATGCGGTAAGAGTTGTAGGTTGAGATTACTAATTACCTTTTTTCTTTCTTTGTCGGAAAAAGAACTTTTCAAAAAATTTCGAGTAATAGAAAAAGAGTCATCATCTGTTAAGAAAATTTTAATATTTTTTCAGATGGTCATTGATTGCTGGAAGATAATCAGGAAGAACAGATAACGTCGATGGGACTAATCCGCAAACGGTGACGTCTCAATTATCGACCAGTGTTATTGTTTCACCGCATAAATACGTTGTTGAACCTGGTTCTTCCTTCCCCGGAGATTAATAACTTGTTCTTCACCGGAGGTAGCGATTTGTCGGAGATCAGTTTGCAGTTGATTTGACACTGAGGGTTAATTCGGGCAAACCATACTCACTAAATAACCAACTCTGCAAATACTTTCAAAAACTGCATACATCTGCAATTACCTACTATTATTTGTATATTCACCTAGTCTCTCAATATGAGTTCTGAAATCTTTGAAACAAAAAAAAAACCCAACTTAAATACAATTCTATAGATGCAAAAATGAAATACTTATTGTAGTTATTCTCGTACTCTCTTCTGGTATAAGAAATAATCTCAATACAAATAAAAGAAAGGTAATAAAAGAGTTGCACGTCTCGGTTGTAGAATCCATCTGGAGTAATTCATTTTCTCTGATTAAAAATGTTTGTATATAAAATTGTTAATTTATTTAGGGAATTTTCCAAAATGATTAACTGCAAAAATATATTCCAATTTCAGTCAAATGTAAAAATAACCTAAAGTCTAGTGAAATTTCAACTAATTCTTATGATCAAACATAAAAACATGTATTGACTTTTATCATTATCAGAGATCTATCATTAGTGATGTTATTTTAGTAATATTAATTTATGGGTTTACTGTAAACTCGTTTCCAACCTTATAAATTGACAATGAAATAAAAAATTACCTTAAAAATTGGCAATCTCTCGGAAATATGCAAGACATCACGTGTAGTATACAATATGTTTAATTTACTAGTATGATTTTTTTTACAACTATTAAGTTATAAATTTTAGATTTAACTTTTTTTATCGTAAATTAAAAGAAACGGGGATGTAGTAGTAGTAGATCTAGTTATAGGCTAATAGCTCCAAGAACAAAGAGGAATATTTAATAATTTTATATATGAGCATATAATGAAATTTTCAACGCCCCGTACCCAAATTATTACTATTTTATATGATGATGCTACATTGCTATTTCATATCGAATACAAGAACTAATTCTCAGTAGCCTAAATTATTTGTTGGTTAATTTCATGGTTTATAAAAAATCTCAAATAAAAAGTACAAAATGATTCAGTGGCTAATGACATTTATGCGGTAGCCATTAATTTAAAACTCATAAATTACACATCTACCCTTATCTCCCTCTTTCAAATTCATCTTCTCTTCTCTTCGACCCCAAACCGGAACCAGGTTTAAATTCAACACTCCATGGCAGATCCACCAGAGCCAATCACAGTCCAACAACAACAACTACACACCCAAACAACTCTCCACCACCAAATGATTCCCTCCGAGTTGACTCACGACGAGTTCTCCTCCCTAACCAACTCAATCACCGAGTTCCACACCTACCAACTCGGCCCCGGCCGCTGCTCCTCCCTCCTCTCCCAACGCATCCACTCCCCTCCAGACACAGTCTGGTCCATCGTGAGACGCTTCGACCGTCCCCAGACCTACAAACACTTCATCAAAAGATGCACCGTGGAAGAAGGCTTCGAGATGAGAGTGGGGTCCACGCGTTACGTGGACGTGATCAGCGGCCTTCCCGCGAACACGTCGAGGGAGAGGCTCGATCTCCTCGACGACGAGAGGAAGGTGACGGGGTTTAGCATCACGGGAGGGGAGCACAGGCTGAGGAACTATAAGTCGGTGACGACGGTTCACGGGTTCGAGAAGGAAGGGAGGGTGTGGAGCGTTGTTCTTGAGTCTTATGTTGTTGATGTGCCGGAGGGGAACACGGAGGAGGATACGCGTTTGTTTGCTGATACTGTGATTAAGTTGAATCTTCAGAAGCTTGCGACGATTACTGAAGGTATGTGTCCAGGCGGGGGAAGTAACTCTCCGGTGATGTGAAGTTGATGAGAGGCGAAAACAAATTGGGGGATTTTTCATCTTTTTGTTCTGTTTAATAATTTTCTTTTTATTTACTGAATTGTAATTTGATTTTTGTTGTTGTTATTGTTCTCCTGGAAAATTGGAAAGAATGTTCGGTAAGTTAAATTTAAGTAACGTTAGAATAGCTGTTTACTTTTAACTTTTAAGTCATATGAGGAAAAAAACTTGATCTGGCACTTCTAATATTTGTTCATAGTGCAAGTAGCTAGTGTGTGTAACAATTTTTTCATCAGCAAATAGAAGGGGAAACACATTTTAAATTAAATGTTGTAAAAGTCATTGGCGATTCATCAATTTAATTTTTAATTTTTTTTTTGTTGTCGTTTGACAGCAGATATTCAACTGATTAAACATTTGTCGTGAACAAATCACTCCATGAATATAGTTTGAAATTGACTGTGAGTAAACCCATTTTTATTGAGTGTGAAATTGAGTGGAATTAGAAAGATTTTACTACAAAAAAAAATTTGGAATGGGAATTATAATGGTATTTAAAGTGGGGTTTTAGTGGTAAGCTACATTAAGTTTCAATTTAATAATTTTGATTATTTTTGTCAAACACCATAGTCCTAAAAGGTGTATTTTATTTATGCTCATTTTTGGGAGATGAGTTGGGCATTTAGTCGGAAGGGTTTGAAAGACAACCAGGCCCATTAATAAGGTACTAATTTTGCGAAGTTGAAGTCGGATTATGAGATTTATTGTTCTCATTTTTTTTACTGAAGGGAGTAACATTTTATTAATGGAAAGGCATATATACCATAACTAAATCGAAGCAAAAGGTGAGAATCTGAGGATGTTTCTCGTATTATTCCAATAGGAAAGAAAGGGACAAATATAGTGGGTACTGCAAGTTGCCTGCCAACTTGGCTAATAAAAGAAAGTCAGAAAGTGAAATATAAATTTTATTGCTAAAGTGTAAATCAAAGGGCCAGACTTTAATGATATGATGTCTGTGAAGTGTGAACCAATTAGACGATTGGATTGTCTAGCACCACGACTCTAATGATTAACATCAACCTTCTTTTGTTTAATTATGAGTAGGATTGGGGTACCTAAAGTTTGAAAAACTATCATCCAATTTTTGTTTATGGATTTTTAAAAATGTAAACAAATTTTTACTTTTGAATTGTTTACGGATTTTAAAAATCCGTTTGCAAACTTTTATGGTAGTTGTTGTAATATTTTGGTAATCTTTCTAACTTATATGAGCATTATTATGGTTTAGTTTCTCAAACTAAGTTTCTGAACAAGATTATATTAAAATTTTACATATTTGTAAGAAATTGTACCACTAAATAGATGACAGATTGACAGGCGTGTGAAGAATTTTTGAACGTTTATTTTGAGAAACAATTTAATTTTACTCACTCTTTTTATGTTTTTTTTTGTTCAAACACTCTTTTAATGTTTTTTTTTTGTTTTATCATTAATTTGGGTGAAATAATCTCTCTCTCGAGATTCTTCTAATGCTTTAGGTATTATTTTTGAACATATGCTCTAGGTATTTGATAAATGGAAATGATGCAGAACATACATGATGGAGATAAAATGTTATACATATTAATAAAAATTGATATTATTTCTTCTACTTTATATTTATTTTGTTTTGCCATACATCATTTGATTATTTCTATTCAGAGCTTTTATTATTCAGTGAAAATATGCAGAGAAAAAGACGAAATTGGTGACGTAGACAACATAGTATAAATTTTCATGAAAACATGACTACACCTTGTCCATACTTCTCTATTCTAGGCTTAATACATATACATGCAACAATTTTTTTTATCAATATTTTCATGAAAATTCGATAGAACTATTTAATAACCTTTATGTAATACATACATGCAATTTTTTCATGAAAACATAACTAGTTACTATTACATAAATTGTTTTTACTATTACATAAATTGTTAACTAGCTCTTTTACATAAAGGTTGTTAAATTTCAAAATTAAATCCAAACTGAATACATAAATCGAACTGAGCGATTGTCTTCCTATTACATGTTACATTGTGTTTACAAGACTATCAATATACACTACTATCAAGCTATTGATTTTTCCATAAAGGACTGAGCAAAGGGAAGAAAAAGCCTGGTGAAGGCGGAGGTAGAGACTCGTTACCGCCAAAAAGCCGCGGTGAAAACGCGAAATTGGGTGATAACAATGGAAACGGCGATCTAGGCTGCGGCGATAGAACAAACTGTGAAACTGGAGACTGGAATAACATTGGATTAGGACCGGTTTGATGTGAAGGAAACAAACCAGTTGATGGCTGAACCGGGTTTTGGTTGTGTGGTTGAGGTTGGTTCCCACCAGGGCTTGATTCGATTAGGTAACGCATATAAGCCGAGATTGGAGATTCAGCCGGGTTGATTGATAATTGGTTAACAGGGTGAACCGGTTCAGAGGCCATTGGATTCGATTGAACCGGATGTGGAGGTGGAGGGCGGTTGACTTGAGTCAAAGGAGCCGGCCTAACTTTGACCAACCGTGAATTTGGAGGTTTTGGCGGGTTTGAGTTTGTTGACTGTGGAGGATTGACTGCAGAAGCTGAGCCAAGTCCGGTTAACTGTTGAACAATGGATCTGAAGTCGGTCTTGTTGATGTTATAAACCAAAGCTTGAGGATTTTGTTGTTGATTTTGCTGGTTTGATGGTTCTTTACGGATATTTTTCCCCATCTTATTCACACCTAGATGATGATGATGATTATCATTATTGTGATGTTCATCCATTATTAAACCTGAAACAAACTAACAAAAACAGAACAAAAAAATATATAAGAGATTAGCAGAGAATCCCCAAGGCCTTAGTATTTTAGGTAACTACAGTTTCTGGAAACAGATTTGAACAAAGAAAATCTGTTAGACAAGCGAGATCATATGGGTTTTAACCCTTTTTAACGAAGAAGGGAGCTTACGCGTTTTAGAATTTGACCGAAAAATGCAGATTTGTTAAAGAAGAACAAACCAAAGAGGCTTTAAGATAAAAACAAAGGAGAGTTCGACTTTCTTGACTTTCTTGCGCTCATAGCTCCATATATTTCTTTTAAAAATTTAACATTTACAATCTTAATCTCATAGTTATTCCACTAACCAACAAGTGGAATAAATATAGAGCAATTGCATTGTATAACCATAAAACAAATTTTTATTGAGTCATTGACTATCACCTTTTCTTAATTAAGTAACTGGATATGTCTTCTAACTTGAAATGTCGAAACAATCCTCTACTAGCAATCGTTTCGTTAAGTTTGCAGTAAAGCTTCACCCTATATGTGTCACATCTTGTTTTTATATACCGATTAGTTCCACAGTCTTGTTATATTTGCTCTTGTGTTTATATATTCCAAATGTATGTTACGTTATTTTGCTTTGTACTTATGGAACAAGACACGAAGACGAATTTATATTTCATGACTCCGAAGGGTTATCTTCTCAAGCAACAATAATTATGGTTGTTTGGCAGGAGCTTGGAATTATATTTATCGAGAAAACACACTTTTGTGGATCAAGGGTTATCTTACAAGATCTTAAGTACTACAACAATATGATCGAAATTGGAATAATTAAACATTAGAAATTTGAAATAAGAAGACATTGACTAATAACCCGAAATGCATGAACTCGGCTACCGACTCATTTTGAAATACTGATAATGATCATTGCTGTTGTAATTAGCATCAGAATCCAGGTGATGAAGAACATGGTTCGCATTGTTTTCTTTGACCCCTCCCATAGCTCACCAATTTGGTTTCCACATGGCTGTATTTCCACATCGTCGTTCCTTTCTGTAGAAGATCGTAACGAGTCGATCACAGCATTGCTTTCCGCCAAAGTTGCTCGCAAATCTGTTGTTTCACGTTTGTAGCGCCTGATTTGATTCCTTGCCTCTAGTAAACTAACCTTTTGCCAGTTTGATGGTTCTTCTTTGTCTACCCAGCTGACAAATCCGTGGACCTCACAACGGTTAAAACGCCGCCCCGGGTTTTCGTCTGACCATGACATTGTCACGTTGGTATGTCTTGAACACCAACATGGTGGTCCAGGAACAAGTGTCTTAATACCACTTGAAGATGAAGAGGATGCAGACGTTGACTTACTCATCTTCTTGACTTTTCTTACAGAAGATGTGTTTGTGTTGCTGTGTGTGTTGGGAAACGAAGAACCGATTTTTACACTTTGCTTATTCTGACCTTTTTACTAGTGCCCCTTGCAAATTGCCAAAAGCCAAGACAGGTGTCACTCATCCGACTGATCAAAGTAAAATATCTTCTTGGTTTGGTTTAACCGTAATCGTCTTTCGATGCTATTCTTTGGTAGTTACCACTTATTTGACTAATGCTAACCAAAATTATTCAAACCCTAACTTTATCTCAGTCCGGTTTGCTATGGAGGGAAACTAGATGGCAAAATTGAATTTAAATACATGAATCGTGTCAGTTCACGTCATTTCAGCCGGCTAAAACAAGACTCCTATGATGTTATAGGGTCAGACTACGATATGAGCTGGATTCACATCTCCTGTGTATCTGTGTTTATATCTCCGGTTTCCACCACACATCTTGCTATAAATCAATACTCCCTGTCTTCATCTTCCATCAGGAAAAAAATACTTTTCCAGTTTCTTAAAGTTTATACCGGGAGTTTGAAGAATCTCTCCTCAAAAGGTAATCCTTGTATCTATTTGTTTTTCTCTAAGAGCTTTAAGGTTGTCGGTCTATTTTTGGTTCTGTGGGGTCTTTTTTATGAACCCTAATTTCGAACTTTTTCCTCTCAAGATATAAAAATATACCGTCTCGCCGATCTATTTCCTTTTAAACTTACAATCACTTATTTGCTTCCACAGATGGGAAGGATTTTGCACCTTGAACAAGGAGTGTGGGTAAAATCGGAGTTGGGAAACTGGTCTTTCGTGAACAGTAATGATTACTACGGTGAAGCTATTCTCGTCCGCGAGAATGAGTCTTTTGAGGACTTGCAATCTATTGTGCGGGTGAGGTTGGAGCTGGGTCCTGATACTCCCATTGCGTTAACGTACCAGTTTCCTCAGTGGATGTTTCATCCTGATGGTCGTAGACCTCAACCTGTTAACATTATTGAGTCCCGAGATGTTGAAGTGATGATGAGTGTTCGTGAGTTCGATGAGGTGCTTGTTCTCTACGTTACCTCTGGACCTGAAGATGTTGCTCGTTACCAGTTCTTTTGCCGTACTCCTTTCACTCTCGGAAACACAACTTTCCTTCAACCTGGTGTCTCCGAGGCTGCGCATCGTCAGTTTATTAGAGGTTAATTTTCTTCCAAAGTTAACTTTATCTTTCGCATCACACTATTTATCAAATATAGATTTCGTGTTTAAAGTTTTTTACCTTCACGCAGATCTGTCTGGAAGGCGCCCAATGAGCTGTGCCACAAGGATGTTGGAGCTTTTATGTGACCAACAGCAGCTTCTTGGCATTTACCGGCTTTCCATGGAAATTGACCTTGCTCTCTCCTCTGCTCCTACTAATGATGCAACCACCCCGGTTCGCAACATGGAACCCCATCTGCCTATAATCTCCCTTGCTGGAAATCTCCCAAATGCTGACGTTCTTGTTAACCCCACCGTATCTCCCACCCCCGCTCCTGCTAATCTAGTTGGTAATTATCACTTCATTCATAATACTTATTCATCACTCATGTTGCCATATTTATGTACTTTAGCTATACTTTCTTTATTTTTGAGACTGATATTTGTTATTTTCATTTCGTGACCAAGCTCTTGCTGGAAACCCGGCGCAACAGATGCCCTTCACACCTGTCTCTCCTGATCACTCCTCTGACATATTCCGAGGTGCTAGTCTTGACGTTGAGAGAGCACGTTATCTCAACAAGCCACATCCTCATTGTGCTGAAATGACAGACGATGCTAATGACTGGGAAGCGTTTTATGAGGTGAATGCTACCACTTCTACACCTCCTATCTTACCCTGCCCAACTTCTCCTACACCTGGACAGACCATTCATTCCATATCTGCAGAGATACCACCACCGTCCAATCGTGTTGTCTTTCAACCGAAAGCCGTTGCTCTCTCTTTCTCTGACTCATCCGATGAGTGCCTTATAGTCACTGGTGACACCTGTACGTAGACCTCTCTGATTTATATATAATATAAGACTTCAAAAGTTACAATAACCATATTTCATTACGTACTTATCGATGTAGCAGGTCCTACTTCTTTGACCCAATCAAGAAAGAAATCATCTTCCAAGAAAGATACTGACAACCTCGTCTCTGATGATGTGGATATGGATGGTGGTGGTCCATCTCTCGACCTAAGTTTAGGCGTTGGCAGTCACCGTGGAGGGCCGACTATTGTTGTCGTTGATGACTCTTCCTCGGAAGTGGGCGATGCAACTGGTGTGTTTGGAACCCCGCGTTAGTTATCTAAGTTTAAATATTGTCCTTTTTTGTACGTCCACCTTAATGTGTGTAAGACTATCTGGAATATCTATGTGTGCCTTCGGAAGTGTGTGTTTTTTTTTCATGCCCATTACCGGGCAATGTGTTGTGAAATATTTTGGACTAAGTATTATAAACCTTGTTTAATAATGTTACCACTCTCATACCCTGTTTTTCACTATCATGTTTATTGTCTAAATGTAGGGATTGGAAATAATCAAACAGATGATATTTTCATAGGCATGACCTTCAAATCAAGAGTAGCTTTCAAACACCACATTGCCATCCATGCTATAAGAAACAAGTTCCGATTTCGTGTCACACGATCTGCACCCGATGGCATGGTGTTAAGGTGTTATAGCAAGACTTGTAAGTGGCGTGTATACGCTGTACGCCTGAAGAATGTCGATGTGTATGAAATACGTCGTCTAGAGTCCCAGCACTCTTGTTCTGTGGATGACCGAGCAGGTATGTGTAACTATAATATCATTTACCGGCTTACAAATGTTTGTAACGGATTACAAGTTCGATATCCGGATTTATATTAGTCAAATATAATTATCAACTTTTAACATGCGTCCTAAGTTTGGGTTTTACCGAATTTGTTATGTTCCTTAGTAATTAATATCCCAATATCACTTCGTTATTTACATACGTGAAGGTATATACGTCAAAACTATTTATTAGCATGTTATAATTGTTTCTCATCGATGAAAAATATGATATCCTGTTTTCTGTGTCTTCCGTTATCAAAGGATTTAATTTACCAATCAACCTAACCAAAAACATGTGTTACACCCAAACTCTTTATTAAACTATTTTACTATCTCTAACGTGTTATCACAGTTTCGCCGGGCAATATTTTTATTAACCGGGATCATTTTTCTGCTAAGTGACAAATGAGTAACCACTTAACATACCATAACATGAAACAACTATTACCTCTTAAACAAGTGGTTAACCGGTTTTAAAGTCCGAGTCATTTGTTAATTGCAAAATATGTAATCTACATAGGTTAATTTTCCTACTTGTACATCCATTCAATCATTTGCACTACTAAAATCCTATATATGATTTTTTAAAATAAGTCACATTTTTTTTTTCGTTTTTTACACACTAAACACTTCCCTACTATTATCCGGTTTTCATTTAACGGTTCCTCCCGTAAACTAAAAGATTATCCGGTTAAATGGTGTTATTACAAGGATAATATCTACGACTACAAACACCACAAATGGTACCTTAACATATTCAAGGGGATCATCATTCATTTCTAATTTACATATGAGTAACC